CCCCCCCCCCCCTGCTTTCCAAGCTCGACGACGACTACATGGGGTACTACGGGGGAGGATACGACTACGGCGGTGGCTACGGCGGAGATTTCGGAGACGCATACGAAGACGACGCGCGATTCGGCGGAGCCCCCGGGGGCGGCGCTGGGGGCGAATCTGACCCCGTGCCAAAGGTGGACTCGCACGCTGGAGGGGAAGGAGGCGGTGACAACGAAGGGAAAGGGGAGGGCGGAAGCCCGATTGTCGCGTTGGATGCGAGCGACGGGGGGGGGCACCGCGAGGTCGCGGCGGGGGGCGGGATGGAAGAGGAGTCGAAGCAGCCGGAGGCACCGGAGCCGAAGAAGAAGGCTGCGCCGTTTAAGGTGTGAGCGCTGTAACAGCGTGTGATCTATTCGTGTGTGTGTGTGTATGTTCTTGCCACTTTTTCTGGCGCCGGTTTTGGGTGAGCTCACCCGTTGAACGAGAAATCCTTTGGAGATTTGGGGAAGAGGGATCCGGATCCAGCTGCCACAAGACTCCCCCCTTTCGCTCATGTTAGTGTAACGATCGATCTGTTTTGAGGCAAGCGACAAAACTCGTGCCCCTGTCCCCTCTCTGCCCCCGCCCGTGTTTTTTTCTTGTTCTGCAGCCTCCGCGCGAGTTCAAAAGCTTCGAGTTCGAGACACCAGAGGCAGCGAGGGGCAGGAAGGAGGTGAAAAAGCTCAGCGATGACTTGAAAGTCCAAGAGAGAAAGCTCAAGGTATGGCCGGGGGGAAAAGTACACGACCGCCGTAAGACTTGAGTCACAGTCAAACGTGGAAGGGATTGTTGCTCAAGACGAGAGACTGGAATGGTTGGACGGCTGATTGGAGCCACGCTGTTATTGCGAGAGGGAATATTGGCTGGGCGATGTGTCGGGGATAAACTGCGGTTGTGTCTTGTTTGGTGTGCTACCGCCCGTGTAGATGGCGATAAGGGCTGCGTGGTGCCTGGAACATCCAGCGCGTGGCTTTCGTGTCGTGGGCTGTCCGCTGCTGGCTGCTGCGGTGTGGTGCGGAGTACACGGCGTATGAGGTTTGTTTCCACACCGCTTCTAGGAGCCATTCCGGAGCACGATTCCGCGGCGGACCGTATTACATCGGCTGTGGCTTCGGTGTTGTCATATCCAAGCCAAGTGCAGCCCTGCATCGTCGAGCTATACGCCTTCTTTTTTTTCTACCCTCTGCGGCACCCCCCGTGTGTACTCAAACGCATTTTCCACATTTTTATTGCAACCTCTGACTTATTTCGACCCGGTTTTTTTTTCTTCCTTCTCTGCGTTAAGCGTCATCTACAGCAGTCTGCAATTCGTTCGCCCAGTTTTGTTATATATTTTGCTGTTCTGCGTTATTTTCCACATTCAGTACTGGAATTTGTCCACCCCGGTTGCTGTTTTTTTTGTCTGCGTCAACTTTTTTTATTTTGTGCCAAGACGCTGGAGCAAGAGGATTCGGAGGACTACGGCGAGGACGGCGCGCTGTGGCCCCTCAAGGACAAGTGCATCACTGCGAAGACGGGGGGTTACGAGTACCGAGTGTGCCCCTTCAAGGATGCCCACCAGGAGGAGGGAAAGTCCAAGGTATCTATCTGGTGGTTTGTTTGGTGGTTATCGTGGCGTTTTTTTTTTTTTTTTCCTGTTCCGTCCAATCGTGTTCGTGGCCGTGGACGGTTGTTTTTTCTATTTTCTGTCCCATCGTGTTTGTGGCGGTTATACGATTATTTTGTTTCCTTTTCGGTCCCATCGTGTGCTTGTTTTGAGGCGGTGTTGGGATGTTTTCTCCTTTTCCGTCCCATGGTGTTGTTTCCAAAGAGCACCAGCGTTCCGGTGCTTATGGCGGTCGATTCGGTATGCCCCCGCCTGCCTCTCTCTTGGTGTCCTAGTCCGACCTCCACCCAACCGCCATCTGTCGTTCCTCCGCCGGACCGTAACCGTCAAAACATTTTCAGACCCTGATAGGGAAGTGGAAGGGGATCGAGAGAGCCGAGGCGGACGACGTGCGGCAGCTGCAACAGCAGCATCAGCAGCTGATCCTGAGCGGCGACGTGCTCGTCTTCGACAGGGGGCAGAAGTGCTGGAACGGACCCGCCCGTAGCCTGCGGGTGGCGCTGGCCTGCGGTACGGAGGACTCCCTCTCCGCGGTGACGGAGCCGGAGACTTGCACGTACGAGGCGGTCTTGGAAACCCCGGGGGCGTGTTCCTCCGCCCAGAGGGACGCCTTGATTGCTGGCGTATCAGGGGGAGCGGGAGAGGACCTGAGAAGGGCTGATGGAGCGGGGGTCAGGGATGAATTATAGTAGCCGGGGGG